CCGGCTATTTTTTGGTTGCAGCCGTCATTGTTGTTTGGCGGGTCCAGGCTGGGGATTCGAACCCGCCACCTTAGGTGTACGTGGCTGGCGCCTTAGCCTGTTGAGCTATAGGCGCCGAGCCAAAAGTAAATTTTTTATTTTGAAATATTTTTAGATTTGTAGGAAAGGTTTAAAGTTAGTTCAGGGAGTTCCTGTGTGCATTTCACCGAGTTCCCTCTAATGTTAACATCTTACATAACCACAGTACATTTGTCAAACTGAGAAGTTACTGTTAACTAAACACCAGACTCAATTTGGGTTTCTCCAGGTTTTCCACTTATGTCCGTTTATTCACTGGAGTCCAATCCAGGACACCATGCTGACAGCTCCGGACCAGCTTGGCTTATTCAGGGTCTGTGTCCATGAAGAACTGTGTGTAACCCATCCTTTATTCTGCTTTTCCAACAGTGTTCTCTGATTTTAAGGACTTGATTGGCCAGATATTAATGGAAGTGCTAATGATGTCCACCCAGACTAGAGATGAAAACCCATTTGCCAGTCTGACAGCCACGTCACAGCCAATTGCAGCAACAGCTCGGTCACCAGACAGAAATCTCCTGCTCAATACTGGCTCCAACCCAGGAACAAGCCCCATGTACTGCAGTGTGGGGTCCTTTGGTGCCAGCTCTCTGTCTAGGTCAGTGTGGGTCTTTGCCCATCTCACTGGTAGTTCAGTAGCTATGAAGTCCATTCACAGTGACGATCTCTTTGTTCACATTGTGGCATGTGTCATATTGGGGAGATGGATTTAGGTTAAAGGTGGTATTGTCTTTTCAAGATTGGGGGTGGGAGGGGTGTTTTGGCTTTCCATGGTTGGACTATTGGTAGATTAAAGTTTAGAAACAAATTATTGTGTGCGCTTACATTATTCTCTGCAAAGGGGGCTTTAGCTATTAAAAGTGCAGCCTCTGAGCAGTCCAGCAATGAGATGATAGTTATTTAGATACTTACCTGATGGATCTGTATGCTTGAACTCTTAGAAATGTGAAATATGGTGATACCGTCTTTTAAAAGCTTGATATTTTCCATTTTAACTAGTTATCTCAAGTTTGTCTTTCTCTTCTTTCCTCCTTTTCTCAACTAATTCAGCCTCTATGAAACTAGTCCTGCTCCCACTACCAGTTTCTGGAGCTCTGTCCCCCTGATGAGCCCGTCTTTGGCCTCACCTACCCGAGCAGCCAGCCAGATGGCTGTGCCTTCATCTTCCCTCAGTCCCCAGAGTGCGGCTTCTGGAACTGCTGCAGGAAGCCAGCCCTCATCCCCGCGGTATCGGCCCTACACCCTCACACACCCGTGGGGGTCCTCACTTTCTCCCACCCCACGGTCCCCAGGCATCTCCATTCTGTCCAGCTCCCCAAGTCTCCCGGCGCCTGCCAGTAGCCCCCAAGCAGTGCCTGCCAGTTCCAGACAGAGGCCCACCAGCATGGGTCTGCCTCTGCCTCCCGCCTCTCCCAGTGCCGGGAGCGGACGTCCTTCCTCCCTGAGGATCGCGCCTAGGTATTTATTCAGCAGGGGGCTTCGTGTGTGTTTGCAGTGCAGGGAAAGGATATTAACACGGTTCGGAAGAACTGCTGTGTGGCACTCACTTCAGTTAAATTTTTGTTGTTTTGGGTGATTAACCTGTGTGGCTAACTAGTTTGGTAACTGCGCCCCCCAAGTCCACGTTTCTGCCAGGCTGTAATCAGAACGTTCTTCCCTTCCTCCTCACCCTTCCTCCTTCCTTTAGGGAAAAAAAAAAGAAAACAAGAACGAAGGAACTTGGCTTTTTGCAGCCTCACTCTCATATCAGTCCTCATTACCAGTGAATTTCAGAGACTGTGGTCAGTGTTATATTTGAGAGTGGGGGCTCACAGGAACCCTTTTTGACTTTTTGTCCCGGTGTCAGTGGTAGTTGAAGTGCAGTCAGACCAGGGCTTCATGGGAGCGGATCGGGTGCTGGTGTCCGTTCCTTCCAGAGAGTGAGCCTGGTCAGTTCATGCTTTGAAGCTTTGAGTTTTGATTATGCATGATTTTGGCCTCTTAGAAACAATATCAGAGTTCTACTAATCCAGTGGCCCTTTCTCTCAAATGTACCTGTGTATTTTATAGATTCTTGCATGTCAGTGGCCAAGACCATTAGCATAGACGTATTTAAAAGAACAGCAAATGCCAAAGCTTCTCCCCATCTTGTTTTACCTTGTCCCCTGATGACCTTTTTTTGCTTTTGTTGTCGTAGTATGTACGACAATCCTTTCTCCTTCCTCTTCCTCGCACTTTCTGGGGACAGTAGTGATGAAGAAGATGAAGAAGATGATGGTGATGATGGTGATGATGAAGGTGGTGGTGGTGGTGATGATTTTTCTTGTGTCCAGTTTGGGTCCAGGTATCAGAGAAATGGAGTATTATGCTGCATGTGCCTAGGTGCTTAGGAACTAACTCTTGTAAGCTCTAATCAGGGGCTTGCTTTGAATCCAAATGGGATAAGGTCGTTAAGAGCTATGCTAAAGAGTACCCTGAAGTGTTCTGACCTTATCATGGGATAAAGTGGCACATAGCAAAAATTTCATAGTTGCTACCTGGTAAGTTTGGAGAAAAACTTACATATAATCATTTGTTGAAAACAAGGCTGGGTGTGGTGGCTCACGCCTGTAATCCCAGCACTCTGGGAAGCCGAGGTGGGTGGATTGCCTCAGCTCATCGGTTCCAGACCAGCCTGAGCAAGTGCAAGACCCCATCTGTAAAAATAGCCCGGCGTTGTGGTGGGCGCCTGTAGTCCCAGCTACTTGGGAGGCTGAGACAAGAGGATCACTTGAGACCAAGAATTGGAGGTTGCTGTGAGCTGTGACACTACAGCACTCTACAGAGGGTGACAAAGTGAGTCTCTTGTCTCCAGAAAACCATGAAAACATTAAAAATCAGTCATCAATAAGTTCACCCACCTTTAGATATAAAATGAGGATTCCTTCATTTATCTGTTGTGAGAATGTTCTCATGCGCTATAGAGTGTAAGTAGCATTTGCTCTGCTAGACTTGTTTCCTTAAGTACAGCTGCACTGATTGTTGCTATTTAGGGATCAGAGAGGAGCTGGGACTTGGGGTGGGGTTTGTGCGGGGTCAGAAGGCCAGACCCGGATGTTGTTGAATGTTTACCCCTGAAAACCAATGACAAGCACTAATTGTGTTTTTTAGGTGACTTTAAACAGAATAATAATAGCGCCCTCTTTCTAGGGACATGCATACAATTTTTATGTACCCATAATTAAAAATAAACATAAATAGCAGCACCTTCTTTATAATCCTCCAAGTAACAGCATTACAGTTTTTCTGTTAAATTGAAGTTTCCTCTGGACCAAGTTGGTATTTTTTCCCAGCCCTGTTGAAGCATAACTCCAGGCTATAAACAGAGACTACAGTAGGAATTAAGCACACTTCATTAAATTTGACAGTGTTCAGAAGAATCAAAGAGAAGAATGTTGATGCAAGGTTGAGTGCTGGTTCAGGAAGGCTGATATTTGTATTAGGTTGAGCATTCACCATTTCTCAAGTAAATTCCCGAAGGTGGAAGTGTCTCTCATGTAGACCAAATCTGATGCACGCGTGTAGCACCACAGCAGGCCCCCTGCCTAGGAATCCGCTTCCTCGTGGTGAGCGTGCTGTGTTATCTGTTTCACTGTAAATTATCTGCAGGAGAAATGCTCTCTTCCTGGCCTGCTTAATTCCAGCTTTCTTCAGGAATGTGTGCTGCTTTTACTAACACCCCCCTTTTCTAGACTTCTAACATCCCAGCCTTACCTTGCCTCAGATCTTGATTCTCTACCTAAGGGGGCAAATCAGACTTACCTCGTGTTTAATAATCGCTGCACACTCATGGAGCACTGGGTGCCTGGTGCTTTGGGCACCGCGCACACATCATCTCCTTCCTCCACACTGAGGCCTGCTGTGAGGAAAGGGGTACGGTGGGGTGAAAGTCAGGGACTCAGGCAGCCTGCGTCTAGAGTTCACGTTCTTTACCCCCTACCCTGCTGCCACCTGCTTTCCATTTCTGCCCAAATAGGGCTTGTGTTGTTCCATACTAGTTATTTTACTGCCAAGAGGCTAGGCTTGACTTTATTCCAGGACAAGGCAGTGCCAGCATTTTCCTCCTTAATTACAAAATTCCACCCCAGTTAGTTGGTAAGTCTCTTGTTGATTGTTACAATGAAATCTGGTTGTCCAGATTTTGGCAGCTTCTAGATTCTTAATTGATACCAAAAATAATACAAAAAAAATCAGTATGGATGGCGCCTGTGGCTCAAGGAGTAGGGTATTGGCCCAATATACCGGAGTTGGCGGGTTCAAACCTGGCCCTGGCCAAAACTGGAAAAAAAAATGAACAAAAAAAATTAGTAAAAGTGCATAGCATACCTGGTTGAACAAATAGAAGAACATAAGAATGCATGTAGGGGCTCGGCGCCTATAGCTCAACCGGCTAAGGCGCCAGCCACGTACACCTAAGGTGGCGGGTTCAAATCCCCAGCCCGGACCCGCCAAACAACAATGACGGCTGCAACCAAAAAATAGCCGGGTGTTGTGGCGGGCGCCTGTAGTCCCAGCTACTTGGGAGGCGGAGGCAGGAGACTCGCTTGAGCCCAGGAGTTGGAGGTTGCTGTGAGCTGTAATGCCACGGCACTCTACCCAGGGGGATAGCTTGAGGCTCTGTCTCAAAAAAAAAAAGAATGCATGTAGGGTCAGAGCCAGGAGAGGGTAACACAAAACCTTATTAATTTGAGTAGTCAGTAAAGAAATGTAATGGTTTTTTCCTTCCCCCTTTCTAATTGATCTTCTCAAAATTGTATTTACTTTGAAGTAAGCAATTTTAACACCTACTTTTGCCCAGTAAGGTTAATGTCCTAAGCGTTCTATCTGTCTGCCCCCCTCCCCAGTTTGCCCAATGGAGTTGATATATTATAAATCTTCTTGAAAGTAGTTGAGATATACATTCATATGTGAATTGTTACAGTGCTGATGGTAAGGATTAATTTGAGAACCCTTCTGTGAGGAGCACTGGATGAGTTAGAACAGTGATTCTCAACCCTCCTGATGCCGCGACCACGGAGTTACAAGGAACTGCACCCTGCAGGAGGGGCATACCTGAGAGAATTCTGCTAGAATTATCCTGTGCTGAGGATAGCGTAGAAGGATCCAGAGAAACATGTTTCTGATTGTTTCCTAGCAAGTTGATAACTGGAAAGAAATTTGGTGTTTGTCTTTTCTTTTCCTTTTTTTTTTTTCTTTTGAGACAGTCTCACGTTGTAGTGCTGTGGCGTCATAGCTCACAGCAACCTTAAACTCTTAGATTCAAGTTATTCTCTTGTCTCAGCCTCCTCAGTAGCTGGGACTATAGGTGACCTCCATAACACCCAGCTATTTTTAGAGATGGGTCTCCCTGTAGCTCAGGCTGGTCTTGAACCTGTGAGCTCAGGCGATCTGCCTGCCTTGGCCTCCCAGAGTGCTAGGATTACAGGCATGAGCCACTGTACCCAGCCTTCTTTTTTTTTCTTTTTTGAGATAGAGAAGGCGTCCTTAAACTGTAGCCTGCCAGGTATTTTTGCTGCCGCTGTCTGTCCTGCTTAGCAGCCAACTCGTCCCGGGGCCCACAGTCTGGTCCTCCAGAGGTCT